GCACCGCCGCACGAACTGCTGTATCCGCACCTTCGGGATTGGACTCGTAACTGAAAATTAAACAGCCTTATGCCTACTCATGCGCCGGATATGGTCACACTCCTTAGTCCTAAGTCGTCAAAATAAACAAACAAAATCGATAACGGCTGCTGCCGGTGACCGCATCCTCGGAATGCGAACGCTGTACTTATTACTAATTTGGACGTGGCTCCGCCTCGTCCGCCTCCGAACCACTGCTACCCTCCGGGCTCCGGAAGGACACCGTGGACCCGTGGTCCTCTGTGGCGGGTTCGCCCCCAGTCGCTCCCTCGTCTGCCATCGCCTCAGAAGCGCGCGTATCTGCCTCCGGGATCTCCGGGAGCTCGGCCTCGAGCATTCCCACGATCTCCCTGAGCACGCCCAGGTCGGTCGGTACTCCGATCTCGTCTGTCGGGGTCAGACCCCGCTCCTGCGCCCCCGGGCTCTGAATCAGCGAGACTGTCGCCTCGCACGCCGGTCCCGGCACCTCTACCGTCCCCACGATCGGCACGGTCGCGCCGTCCGGCTCCACCCGTTTCGCCAGCAGACGCACTGCCTCCTCCAAAAGGCGCCGCAACACCACCTTGGGTGCCTGGGGATTCGCCACGCGAGCCGCGCTTGCGTACGGTCGCACGGTTCACGATATTAAGTCTGTCCGGCAAACCGGGTGTTTGCGCGGTCAGATCGCGTTCGCGTTCGGTCTTTAGGATCTGTTCGTACCCCTGAACATGCATATTTCATGCCGCGACGCCACGACGCTTCGCTTGCCAAGTAGCCTTTTGTCCGGCAAACCAAGTGTTTGCGCGAGCGGATCGCGCTCGCGATAGTCTCCAGAGGTTGGGGAAACCTCCCTCTGGCGGCAGTTTGAGCCTTTTGGCGCTGCGTCGCCGCGTTCGTCATTCCGTGACGTGTCCGGCAAACCTGGGGTTTGCGCGATCGGATCATGTTTGCGATAGTCTCCAGAGGTCGGTGAAGCCTCCCTCTGGCGGCAGTTCAAGCCATTTGGCGCTACGGCGCTTCCTTACCTTGTTTTGCCGGATGTCCGGCAAACCCCATGTTTACGCGGTTGGATCGCGCTGATTCTCGGTTGATCCTCTCCTGAGGATGTCAGGAGTCGGCATCTCAACTCTCGTTCACCTAGTACGCGTTTTACTCGAACTTCGCGTTTGCGCGTCGAAGATTGTGTGTGGCTCGACCAATCATTGTTATGGTGCTAATGCGGATCCACGCACCCATCAAAACCAAACAAAATAATTTACTCCCTTGGTCGGGCCAGGCACTTAGTGCCGCAAAGAAAATGAAACTGATTGTGGATCGCGGTAAAGGACTTATAGGCTAAATGGGCCGCTGCCCAGCAACCGCTGTCGCATATCTTATTGAATACAACGCCGGACGGATGGGCTGTATAACTTTATTAATACTATGTACAAAAGAGAAAGGGTAAGATTTCCCTATTCCGTCCTCGGAACGCCTGTGTATCTTAAAACGCTATGCGGGGTTGTCCCCCTCGTCCTGCGACTCGCCTTCCCCGCTAGATGGGCTGACAAAGTCCTTCGCCTCGTCCTCTGGCTGCTCCCACGGCTGCTGCATCGACAAGGCGGTGATGGTTATCGTGTCAGTCACCGTGACACGAGACATCTCGATCTGATACGCGCTGTCGAAAGCCTCGGCAGCGCGCCTGATCGCCTCTAGCTCAGCGGGAGAGCCCCATAGGCGCGCGTCTCCCGCCAGTATCGCAGATTGCTTAACGATCTGACGGCTCAGCACCGGCGATGGCGTGCTTCGCCAGCTCCCCTCGGCGACTGGCCGCGGTTGCGGCGTTGCTCGTCGTCCCGCTCGGCTTACCTCCTCCGGTGTCAGCCGGGTGATGACCACCCTGGGCTGGCTGAGTAATTGGCCGCGCACCGTCTTAGTGCACGGCTTCAAGGTTAGGTTAGGTTAAGTTAGGTTAGGTTAGGTTAGGTTGTACTTGCTTCGGCAGTACATATACTAAAATTGGAACGATACAGAGAAGATTAGCATGGCCCCTGCGCAAGGATGACACGCAAAATCGTGAAGCGTTCCACATTTTTATTATTATTATTTTTAAATTAATCCCCGTACTGCTCTTTTCTGCGTGGGATTAATAATCTCGGCAGTCTTACATCTGACTGCAAGACTCGTGGCCGGACACTGCGAGTTCTTCGTCGAGCGGTCCTAGGATGCATCACGGGCGAGGTGCACCCGAATTTTAGTCCTAAGGGGAGCACACCCCTGAAATAACGAAACGCAAACATGAAAGGTACAAAGAAAGAGAAAAAAGCTACCGTCTCAGGGGGTTCGGAGACCCAGAGACCGGCGCGGGGGGGTTGTAGTCCCAGCGAACCCCGTGTCGATGGGCTTGGCCCTAAAAAGTCAAGTCCTAAATCAAGCGATGGGCTAAGAGAAAATTTACAAATAGCACTGCGTCCTGATTGGACAGGCGCAGTTGCTGACGCAGATACGATGAAGGAAGCCACCAAGGAGGTGGAGATGGAAGAGGAATATGACAAAGGAGTTGCACTTGCGAAAAGGATTATTGCGGATATTACAACAACCGAGGATCCTCAGGCTTTGGACGACACGAGGACCGATCCTACGTTCGTTCCTCCTGGCGTGTCTGATTTGGAGGGATCAATGCATCGGGACCAGCATTTAACTGGAGACGTGGTTATGATCGCAGATGACGATGATGACGAGGATATCCCCCTGTCTATCCCAAACAGGGAAAAGAGGAAGGAGAGATTCCCGTCAGACTCTCCAGAAAATACGGCCAAACCCTTCAAAAGAAGATACACAACCTCGGAAAATGAGGTTTATACTCCGGTGTTAACAACAAAACACAAGCTCACCATACATCCGGTGGCTGCCAATAATTTACGTTCATACGATACGGATCAATTGACTAAGTGCGCTACTGAATGTCTCCAAAAAATGGAGATTATCAGAACAAGCAGCAAAAATATTAAAGGAAACTTCTCGGGATACCTCAGAGACGGGATTTCAAATATATGCGAAATCATAGATATTTATCGTGAACGTTTGGGTGCCGCTGGTGACGTAGCGGATCTCGAACTACAAAACAAAAATCTGACTACACAATTGCGTAAAATTACCCGCGAGCAGGAGCTCCAGAAGAAGGAGTACTCCATACTCCGTAAGGAAAACGAGGACCTCCACAAGGATATGGAGATGCTCCGCAGGGAGATGAAAAGCATGAGAGACGTCACAAACACGGGAGGATCTTCTTTAAAGGTTTTTGAGAATAGTCCTGCTGACACCCGCAAGACAAATACTAGGGAATCATTAACTCGTATTGAAGACTATCCCCCTCTTCCACAGAGGAAACCAAGAGTTATCTCTTCAGAAACACTACGAGACAGAACTGTCAAACTACGTAAACATCCCACGAGTGCTTCGGGATCGGAGACAGATGTAATTGGGGCTCCTAGTTCGTTCAAGAAGAGATCTCCTCCCGGTAAGATCAGGAAACCGGACAGAGAGACTCCCATACAGACTCCTGCTCGTGCTCTCTATTCGGAGGAGGACACTGACTCGAACCACATGTTGGAAAGTATGAATCAACAGATTCAACAACTGGTGGCTAATATGGACGAACTACGTGCCAGGTTCGGCTCGAAGCCAGAGGAATATCATAAGAAGAAAAGGATAAAAAGGGCATCCTTTAGGAATGATACCGAGACCTCTGGTATCTCGGATGGGGAATTTCTAGGCCCGCAGACTTCTGCGCCGCCTACTTTGAATGCCGCACGAGATGAAGCGACAATTCGGAAAGAAGGATCTCGACGTGGGGTTTTCGGAGATGGTCCTCGCTCGACTACCCGCTCACGCAGACCGCCGAAAACCGCCGCGGTATCGATCACGAGCCTCAAGGAGGATGTCAGTTACGCTGACATCTTGAAGAAAGCTCGCGAGAACATAAATATGGATACTCTTGGAATCGAGACCTCCAAGATCAGACGCGGCATTAATGGAGGGATCATTATCGAAATCCCTGGCGCGGACGGCACTTCCAAGGCCGACTCACTTGTGGGCAAACTTAGGGAAGTTCTTGATGTTAATAATATCCGCATCACTCGCCCGACTACTATGGGAGAATTACGTATTTGGAGTTTCGATGACTCCATTTCACCGACAGAAATACTCAACGAAGTTTCAGTGGTTGGAGACTGCGACAAACATCTCGTCAAATTAGGTAATATTCGCAAGATGAATAACGGACTCAACTCCGTTTGGGTCAAATGCCCCCTCTCTGCAGCCATCAAAATTTCGGCTACGAGTAAAATTAAAATTGGTTGGACCATTGCCCGAGTTGAGCTACTGGAGGCGAGTACAGTGCTACAAGTGTTGGCGCTATGGTCATGTCCGCACCACGTGCAACTTTCCGGAGGACCGGACGGGCGCCTGCTTTAGATGCGGTGAGCGCGGCCATCAAATCGGTGACTGTAGAGAAGATCCCTGCTGTGTCATCTGCAAGGAGGCCGGAAGACCCATCGACCACCGGCTGGGTTCACTCAATGTCTGCACGAGCGTGGAGCCGGTTCGAGGGAGACGTAAGGAACCTGTGTCCAACGGTCGAGTGGCGGCGCAGAGATGACCCTGTGTCTCCAGTTAAATCTGAACGGTAGCAAGGAGGCCCAGGACCTCCTTGTTCACCACTCAAGAGAGATGGGGGCCGCTGTCTGCGCGATCTCTGAACCCGCCAGATCACACAGCCCATACCAGCTATGGTTTCACAGCCATAACGGACTGGCGGCTATCTATGTTAACAACAGGGCCACTACGCGCCCCGCCACGTTGGAGGCTCGTGGAAGACACTGCGTCCTGATCAGACTGGGAGAGTTTTACTTTCTTTCTTGTTATATCTCTCCCAACGTGGACCTCCCGGCATTCTCGGATTTTTTGGAGGAGTTATCCACGATCTGTTCTTGTGTAGCTCATAATAACAGGCTCGTTATTTGCGGGGACTTTAATGCCCACTCTGTTTCCTGGGGTTCGAATACATCTAATGTCAGAGGCGATGCTCTTGAGGAGCTTGCGTCGCAGCTTGATTGGAGACTAGCGAATCGAGGAGATCATCCCACGTTTTCGAGTCACCAGGGGACCTCGATAGTGGACCTCACTTGGACCTCCCCTGACTTATTTAACAGAGTACGCAATTGGTCGGTCCGTGAAGATTTAAAGTCCATGTCGGACCATCTTTATATCTCCTTTGAAGTTGCGGATTCATCTTCTCGGCGTATAACACCATCATTACCCCGAAGGTGGAACTTTAGAAGGATGGATATCGGGCTCTTTCAGGAGGCCATCGAATGGAAGTGCGCGGTTACTCCCGGTGATCCGGAGTATCTGAACAGAGTGGGCCCAAATAAATGGATCAACGACTGTATCTATGATGCGTGTCAGGCGGCGGTCCCTCGCCTGCGCACTGCCAGAGTGGATAGGGCCCATTGGTGGAACGACCAAATTGCACATCTGAGAACCGAGGCTATCGCCGCGAGGAGAGCCTGAACTCGCGGCAGACGCAGAGACTCCCCGGTGGTTTTGGAGGCCAAAAGGACCGCATACATGGTCGCTACTCAGAATCTCAAACATGAGATCCAGAACGCTAAGTCTGCCGCGTGGCAGGAGCTTATTGATACGCTTAGGGATGACCCGTGGGGTCTTCCTTATAAGCTGGTTTTGGGAAAACTCAGAAAGCCCACTCCTGCGCTCAGTTCCACCCTTGAGCCGGAAGTATTAAACCGTCTGCTGGATGATCTGTTTCCGCCCGGTAGGGAACTGTCTCGGGTTAACCTGGGGGACTGCGAGACGGGGAGAACCCCTATTACTTCGGACGAAGTAGAGGAGGCAATAGCTGCTAAGAAGACTACTAACACGGCACCTGGTCCCGACGGTTTTAAGGCAACCGTCCTTAAAAAGTTGCCTCCGTGCATGGTGCATCGACTAACAGCCAATTTCAATATATTCATGCAGTCTGGGGTCTTCCCATCCAGGTGGAAGCTAGCGGACCTCGTACTAATACCCAAGGGGGATATTCCACCGCGCGGTGAGGTGCCTAAAGCCAGGCCAATCTGCCTCCTGAATGAAACGGGAAAAGTCTTTGAACGCATTATTGCCAATCGTTTGGCCAATCATCTCGATCAGAATCCTAGATATGACCTTTCGGTAAATCAATTCGGGTTCCGTAAGATGCGTTCCACGACCGACGCTCTTTTTCTGGTAAAGAACATCATTACCGAGGCCCGCGCGAACGGTCGAGTTGTGCTAGCCGTTTTGTTGGACATAAAAAATGCGTTTAACTCCATCAAGCACTCTAGGATTAGAGCTGCTCTGAGGAATAAGCGCCTTCCGCAATACCTGAGACGTATCATAGAGGATTATTTGAGAAACAGAACAATTAGATATACCTCGTCTGACGGCACCAGACGCACCAGGCGTGTTAATAGAGGGGTTCCCCAGGGTTCGGTGCTGGGTCCTCCGCTCTGGAACTTGGGATTTGATCAGGTGTTGCGCACCCTGCTTCCAGGGGATTCCCACGTCGTATGTTACGCCGATGATACTCTGCTGCTTGTGGCCGAAGATGATTTTGACTCTGCGTGTGCCCTCGCGTCTGAGTGCCTCGACAGGCTCATGATTAACATCATAGACCTTGGCCTGTCTGTTTCTTGGCCTAAGACGGAGGCCGTATTCTTCGGACACTGTCCCCGGAACTCACACTTCGCCTACGAGGGACAGAATATCAAATTTCTACCAGTATGAAGTATCTTGGCGTTATCATCGATAAGAACTGGGCGTTTAACGCACACGTTAACTACGTCGCCGAGAAGATCTCAAAGGTGAACCGTGCTTTGTGCGCGATCCTGCCAAATCTTAGAGGGCCCATAGAAAATAAAGGCCGTTTATACTACTCCGTGGCAACATCTATCGTGCTCTATGCCGCTCCTATTTGGAGCGGAGAGTTTACAGCTTCCGAAAACAAGCAAAGACTGATGCGCCGCGCACTTCGTCTCTCAGCGCTGAGAACCACCATGGCGTATCGTACGGTTTTGTATGAGGCGGCCACGCTCCTGGCCCGTGTTCCGCCTCTGCACCTGTACGCAGAATTCTTGAGGAGAACATATCTTCGTCATCGAAGAATGAAGGAGAACGGGACCTATAACGAGGTGTCGGCTCCCGCCGTACATCTAGAGAAATGGGAAGTGTTGCGTGAGCAATGGCGCACCCATGTCACGCGCGCAAATCTCCCAGGTAGGAGAACTAGAGAAGCAATTGCTCCTAGCTTTGACGACTGGTTGGATCGCAGTGCCGGCTTCCTCACATATAGGATAACTCAATTCCTAACAGGTCACGGATGTTTCGGCACCTACCTGCATAGAATTGGTAAGGAGGATTCTACGATATGCCGGTACTGTGATTTGGTGGAGGACAACCCGGAGCACACCTTGGAGGTGTGTCACTTTTGGGCCCTGGAGCGTGGCGAACTCGCTGCTGCAATAGGACAAGACCTATCTTTGAGAAACGTCATCGCCAGAATCTGTAATTCCAAAGAGCGTTGGAACGCGTTTTCGGTCTTTGTTGAACGGGTTCTCCAGCGTAAGGAAGAGGACGAGCGAAGGAGACAGCAACAAGCCCTTGATCAGGGATAGTCGCGTTGCCTACGATTTTATTGCGGCGTTGTCATTGCGTGCGGTTATCTCGTTATGCGATTTATTTGCGTGCGGACGGGGTCTTCCTGTCGTTCCAGGTTTGCCCGGGCGCGGGCCGGTTCTGGCTCTCCTCCTCCTGGGGTCCGGTGCGTCGCTTCGGCGACGTTCCCGGATCCCTGGGGGGTGGTGGGTTGGGGGCGGTCGGCGTGCGGGCTTCCCTATGGGCGACCGGATGGCCCTGTAACATAAAATAGTTTTAGTTTGTATCTATATACACACATATTTAATTGTTTTTTCTGGGAGCTCCGCTGCGATGGGTTGGGGGTTCCCTGGGGGTCGGTCGCCCGTGGTCTCGCCGCTCACCGCTGTGCTTGCGGGGCTCCGGCCCCACTGCTCTGCAGTGGGTTTGCCGGAGGCCCCGTTGTGGCTGCAAGGTGCGGGTGGTCGTCCTTCTGGGTTTCCTCGGCCTGCGGCGGGGTTCTTGGGATCTCTTCTCTTTTCGCGCCCCTCCCTCCCCTTCTCCCCCCTTTCTGGGGGGCCTGGGGGCGGGACGGGCGTGATCACAACTATAGCCGCTGAATCGGCCCGTGATGCGGACTTAGTCCGAATGTTTCCTGGTGTTGGGTATGTGTTAACCCTCAACGTTAACGAGCGTTGCTTGTGTTTTGATTTGTGTGGAACCTTGCAGCCGCGCGCATCACCGGCGAGGACCAGTAAGGAGGAGGTGACAGAAACGGAATGGATCGGAGCGATATGGCGTTTCAGACGCAGAATACGTCGTCGGGCAGTTGCCCATTATTTTGTTTCAGGTTCCTTGGGTTGCTCACAGCCAGCGATGCGAATACCGAGGCCGCTCACGGAACGGGAGGACGGCGTATGGCAAACTGGCGGACCGCGATTGCGGAACAGCGATTGTGGCGCCTCGACGATTGTCCGAGATCCGAAGAGGAAGATGCGCGCCACGGAATAGCAGAAATCGCGCGCGGTCGGAAAACTTGCAAACCAACGGCATTGGGGTAAAAGAATACGCCCCTGACGAGGGCACGTGGTCCCCGAGTCAAGCATACGGGATCGGCGACGCGATACGCGAACGCGGACGGGAGATAGCGAACCGTCCGCGAAGTCGAGCTAAAGGCGTCATCTCCGGGAGTTGAGCACCCCTGACATTCGGGGGCACTTCGCCGAGCCCACGAAGCCGGGTCCCGGTGAGACCCGCCGCCCGGGTAACGAAACGGCGGACCGTCCGGGAACTCGCCCCAGGTGAGTCATCCCCGGGGAATAAGTATCCCTGACTAACAGGGACGTCCCCGAGAACGTTCATATCTGGTCGCCATCGAAATCTGACGGCCGATAACAAAGTCACAGAACCGTCCGCCGTCTCGCAACCTGGACATCTTCCACGGGGAAAGACCGCGGAAAGCGTCGTACCAGGTGCGAAATAAGCGTCAGGAGGGGTCGTCGGCAGGCCCGGTGGTCTGCACCTGGACGTCTTCTTCAGGGAAGTCGCCCGGATGGAGATCGTAGACGTGGTAAAAGACCTGGCGCACAGGTCGGCGTCAGCGGCCGCGCGAAATTTAGGGAAGTGAAAAACGGCTACCTCGTTGCCAGGACGGAGCGACCGCGCGAGCGCAATGAGCATGGAAATTTCCACGGGGCTCGGCGCGAACGGCGTAAACACCCGCGTGGAAAATTACCGAAGGCCGACGCGCAGTTAGCGGCGAGAGAAAGCGGAATATCCGTCGGAGTGGGGATGTACGGAGCCGATAGTGGGGAGCTCGAACGAGACAAACAACTCGAGGCAGTCTGTCGGGGATGTTCGAGCGTGTAACACGTAATCAACTTCGCTCTGTTTCGTCGCGCTAAGTCACCGCGATCGTCATACAAGTGCTATAATTACGGCTCGCCAACATTCGTAACAACCGGCAACACCCGCGGAACGCGTTATTTGTCGTCTTTACAAAGACGAACGGCCTTTTTAGACCGAAAACAAGATCGTGCGTCGTAGATTAACTGGGCGTATGTGCCCACGTATCCGAGCGTCCGACATCTTGAGTGACTTAAAGTTTTGTGTACAACCAACACTGGAAATCAATATAATTGAATAAATTAAACATCCTTTTCGAAAAGTTTCGAAAATTTATTAAATTGGACTTACCTTCTACTTACCTGATCCATTGTCGACGATCACTCGAAGTCCCTCGTTGATCCTGGATTCCGGTGGCAGCGTTGATCCTGATCGATGACGGCGATGATCCAGCGGTGGCAGGAACCTGAAAAAAGAAGAGAATTAGTCTAGTTAATGATTCGAGAAATCGTTCGATACTTACCTTCTCGGTGGTTCAAAGGTCAAACCGAGTGGCGACCGTTGATTTCTAAGGACACGCAGCGTTGATTCGTGCCTCCTGTAGTACCGTCCGGTTACAGTAGAGTTGCACGAGGAGCACATAACCTTCGACATACACCGATCGCGTGACAAGGACCTGCGGCTCTTCACACTGAGACAGCGGAACAGCCAAGGTGGGAGATACCTCAATGCTTCGGCGGGGTTAAAATCTTCGTGACCTAAAACAAAATGGCGACCGTGATAGGACACGTACGTGTATGATTGGAGTATTCAAGGTCACGGGTCTTATACATAGACTCGGAGTGCGCGTTTAGCGAGTCTAACGTGCGAATAGCAACGAAGACGCGGACATCGTTGGAGCAAGCCGACGGTGACGTGGGACACAAAGGTGTCGAAGCAAGTGGCACGACAAGTGCGAAAATGTTAGTGCGTCAGGGAGTGAGGGTATCACGGCACGACACAGCTTTCAGCGAGCACCGAGCGCGACAAGGCCAGACGACGAGAAAGTGCAACCGCGT